GCTGCAGGGGATTCACCTCCCCCCCGGCGCCAGGCAGGGCTCGGCCACGTGTCCCTCCCGTTTCACCCAGTCCCCTTGGCCCTGGCTGGCAGCCGGTCACGCCGTCCCCGGCACAGCCCTGCCGTCCCCAGCATGGCCCCACCACTCGCCCGGCCCCGGGGCAGGGCTTCCCCAGCACGGCCCCACCATCCCTCTGCGAACCTGCTGAGCACCGGGGCTGCTGGCCGGGAGTCCCACTGCCCCCATGGTGTCTCCTGAGGATTTGGTGGCCGCAGCCGCGGTACTCACTGGCCTGGGCCTCCTGGCCTGGTGCCTTTGGGCAGGGAGGCTGGAGGTGCCTGGAGATTGGGGAGAGGAGGAAGAGGAGGGGATACCCTTCATCGCCGAGGATGGCTCAGGGCGCTGCCGGCTGCTGTGCAAGCCCTCAGCTCTGGCCCAGCACCTGGTGCGGAGCTTGGGGCAGTCAGCGGCGCTGCGGAGGGGCCACTCGACACGACACCGGGCTGGTGGCCCTGGACTGGCTGGTGGGGGCGGGGGGGGCCAGGGGTGGGAGGGGGGGGGGGGCCCAGCTCAGTGCTGCTGCTCATCCCCCATGCTGCCGGGAAGGGACGGGGGGAGTGGCAGCGGCGGGGGGGGGCCCAGCTCAGTGCTGCTGCTCATCCCCAATGCTGCCGGGAAGGTGACGGGGGGGCTGCTGCAGCTGGGGCTGCGGGCGCTGGAGCGGGGCTTCATCCCTGTCATCTTCAACCGCCGGGGTCACAATGGCTGTCCCCTCACCACCCCCCGGCTCCAGCCCTTCGGGGACCCTGGGGACCTGCGGGAAGCAGTGACCTACCTACGCTGCCGGCACCCCGCTGCCTCACTGCTGGCCGTCAGCGAGGGCTCGGGCTCGGGGCTGCTCCTCGCCTATCTCGGGGAGAGCGGCTCCTCCAGCCGCCTGGCTGCTGCTGCCTGCATCTCCCCCATCTTCCGCGGCCGGGACTGGTTCGAGGCTGGGATGCCCTGGCTCTACGAGTGCCCGCTGCTCCTGCACCTCAAGAGGGGACTCAGCAGGTCAGTGGGGTCCCTTGGGGCTAGGGGAGGGGGTGCCCCAGGAGCCCCTTGGCCAGCCCTGGGGG